TATGGAGGGGACACTGTCATACTGCCTCTGCCTCCCTGAGCAGGGTGACCGCCAGGGTCTCTCCCACGTGGGTGATGTGGGGAGGGGGTGGGGACAAGAGCAGCCAGACAACAGCCGATCCCAACTTAACAAGAGCCAGCCTCTGCCCCGCCAGCAGAGAAAGACCCCTTTGTTGGCGCTGGCGCCCTGTCCCTGCACCCCGGCCACGTCCAGCCAGATCGGGGCGCGGTGGCTCCAGCTGGCCCGGGAGGGAGTCGCAGCTGAGCTCGGGGGCCAAGCACCTTCCCAGCAGCTCCCAAAGCAGACCCCTCCCCAAGGTGGGAGGGAGGCCAGGCGCCAATGTCACCTCATGGTCACTCTACAGCCGGGGCGGTGGCCTCTCCAGGCTCGCTGAAAACGGGGCATTTCCATCGCGCCTCTCGGAGGCAGCCCCAGGCCCTTCCACCTCCCCAAGGCTGCGACCACCCGCGTGGCAGATGAACCCAGCTCTTCGCCTCCCTGGAGGCGGGCGCTGACTCCAGACAGACGCAAGGCAGCGACTGGGCAACTCTGACGCGACCCTGTAGCCACAAACAAGAGGGCTCTGCCGGCTGCACAGACCCTGGACCCGCTCCAGCTTGGGCTCCAAGCCCTCCGCCCTCCCTTGCATGGCCCGGAGGTTCCAAACGCAGACCGACCCTATGCCACGAGGCCTCCATGGCTATACACAGAGGCCTCCTGTCCCGCACTGACCCGAATGGGTCGTGCTCCGGTTCCCCCACATCACGAACACCCCACCCGTGTCAGGGACCCAACATCGCGGGTTTCCCGGTCCGGCCACACCCCCGCATCCATCCCCACCCCCATCTCGCACTGACAGAAAAGGGCGCGGGGCGGCCCAGGACTCCGCATCCAGAGCTCCTACAGCCCGAGGCCCCCACGTTCTGTGATCCAGCTCGCAGAGACAGAAAGGGGTGCACAGCGGCCCGGGGTCCCCCAGCCCATGTCCGGGGTCCCCAGCCGCACTGACCCGAAAGAGGCGCGTGGTGGCCGCTGAGCGCAGCACGGTCCAGCCGAGCGCGCCGAGCGCCAGCAGCAGCAGCTCCGGAGGCCCCAGGTGCGCGTGCTCGGTCAGGCCCCGGGAGCGCCAGCCCCCCAGCCGCAGTCCGCGCT